AAAGTTGTACTAGATGCTATTGCTGTCATTGGGGTGTCGAAGGCCAGCGCGCTAGTCTGGAGACCCTTAACCCACCCCGCTTGCACAAGATGGGTAAGAATCAATCCAGCATCCTCAGTGGACCTCTGGTGGATACCGCCAAGTTGGTTTGGATGGAAGATATCATGTTTGACAGCATCAAACTGTATCCTATTGGCTATCATCTTTTCGATAAGTTTGCCAAAAGTGATGAGGAGTACAATCGGCCTGAAAACCTTTGGCACTGCATAGGAGGGCTTGTTCAGCTTCAGAACGATAACCGACAGCGACTCCTTGAAAATACGAGGCCAATGACCCACCTGAAGGCAAGCATTGGCCAACACGATGAAGAGCGCAAGGACATGTTTATCCTTGAGCAACTCCTTTAGGTGGACCCATGTAACATGGTCCAGTCCTGGTGCAGAGGAGTTGGAGCACCCCTTAAGAGCACTCAACAACTGATGCTCCGAAAAGTCAGCCCACTCACAGACCGGCTTGTCGGGAAGCTCGTCTAAGACTGAAGTGTTGTACTCACAACCTGAGGCCGAGTTGTACGTGCCATGAAGGGCATCCCAAAGGTCGTCCATATCATGGCAAGGCCGGTCGCCATTGCGAATAGCCTCACAGGGTGGTAGCTTGCACTGTTTGACCCATTCCATTAGGTCCCACAGGTGCTTGCAAGAGGTAGCAATTTCTGCAATGTGTTCATCAAAGAAGTTACATTTGGCATCCTTACACGCCTTCTTAAACTTGTTGTAATCAGCCAGCATACAGCTCAACTGATATACTCTGAAAGTTTCCGAGCACTCGTCTGTCCACCAGGACTTGGAGCACTTGGTAGGCTTGGACTTGGTCGTGTGGGCAAGCCATGTGTCCGAGAATGCTGTCGCAATAGCATCGGCTAAAGCTTCAACGCCTTCCTTGGTTGCCAGGGCTGCGACAGGAATAGCTGCAAGGTCCCGGAGGATATCCAAAATGAAAGACTTCTCAGCCTCGCTTCTGGGTTTAATTGTCCGTCGCCCAGATCCGGGTGGCTCGGGACCAATATCAAGATCCGTACAGATCGGGACATGATCTGATGGACCCTGGAGATCATGCTCCAATCTGGGCATTGAGATCAAGATCTCAGATGGAGCTAAGAATACAAGATCCAAGACGTTGGATCTCTGGTTTGGATTAGGACTGATCCGCGTCGGTCCATGGTTAGAAGGTCGTGCCCACTCGAGGCCGATCTGAGATGTGGAATCCCGCAGTGATATTGCCATCGACGACTCGCCATGCTCATAGTCATCCCAAGTCGTCGACACGCAGTTAAAGTCACCAGCCATGTAAATGAAAGGTGGTAAAGAATGCACACGAGCAGCTAGGTGCTCAATGGCTGTATGTTGATCGTCAGAATAGACATTCATTAGATTAAGAACCTCACCCCTGCTGAAAAGGGAGAGGACGAGGATGTCGTGACACATAGCAGGACGATAGCGGGATAACCTAGTCGAGACGTAGGCGATCACGCGGGGAACCTCCCCTTCCTTAATGCGCACCATTTGCAGCCAGTCGGGATGCTTTGGTGCGCCGATAACCTCATCGCCCTCCATACTAATGGTGGACAGTGCATGTCTTATGAAATTCCAAGGGGTTTCTTGGAAGAATAAAATATCGAATTTGGTTTTACAAATTTCTAGAAGAGTATCAACGTGTGCATATGTATGGCGAACGTTCTGACAAAAGATACGAAGCCCACTACTTAGATCCTGATGGTTTCCCAACATTAGTCTAGTTTCGGGGGTTAGTAAGTTGGCGGCGAGCGGTGAGCTCACATACCTGACGATACTCGGCCATGATCCACTCACAGTCGTAGCGATGGGCCCAGAACTTGCACGAAGCCGAGTTGGTGGTGTGGTCCTTGTGGCAGTTGACACAGCGGCCCTTATGGGGGCAGGGCTGGTCGTGAGGGGTGGGCGGCACAGGGGGTTTCGCTTTCGCGTTGCCCTTGCAACATCCCGCATGTTGACGGTGCTCCTTCTGCTCGTGCGGACCCGAGCAGATGGGGCAAGAGAGTTGTTTCGCCTTGCAGGCGACGGTGGGATGGCCCCACTTCCAGCAGCGCTGGCAGAGCGGGACCCCGGTGTGTCGTGCGGCGGGCCTGATAGCACAGGACCGCCCAGCAAGGAAAATTGGTTGGCCAAGGGCCTTCTTGGCACGGGTTCCCTGCTGGGAGTCCCAAATGTTGCAATACACTGTGCACGATGTCGAGTGCGCCGAGTTGCAGTCGATCCGAGGCTTAGTGCTCAGATATGCGAAAACCTCAGCATGAACCGAGGTACGGAGAGCCTTTTCAAGTGCCTCCTGGGTGATCTTCAGCCCTTTCGGATCGAAGTAAGGAACATCGAGTATCTTTATGAAGGATGTCGACGACGGGAGTGCAACCTCAAACGGGGTACCTGTTGGGAGGCTTTCGTGGATAAAGTTACGCAATATGTCCAGATCAGACAGACTGGCAACAGCGGGGGTGACCAACGACAAACCGTCATATGCGCGGACGATGGAGGTGACCTTCAACATAGATCGACCATCCCTGAGGTATCCGTTGGCTGCACGAACAGCCGACTCGGTGAAGAATTTCGTGAGGTCGGGAGGGGTACCCCCGAACGACACGAGAACCTGCTTCCGGGTGGGGCCCTCGGAAGTAAAAGAAGGAACGGACCGATGAGGTGAAGTCTTCATCGGACCCGTTGGGAATGAGGGGGGAGGGGAAGGCCCACGACGTTGCGGTCCCAAGCCAGGAGGCGGGGGAGGCATCGGAGCGGCCTGTTTGGCAATCCCTGCCCACGTCGTTGGACGGGGCTTGGGTTTAGTGGCGCGATTGATCGGCGGAGGCGGACCAGGGCGAGAATAGGCCACCTTACTCTTCTTCTTCTGAGGAGGTGGGACTGGGCGATCAACACCCTTGCGCTTCTTGGAAGCGGGGATGCGAGGAGGGGAGGCCGGACGACCGAGGTCGTCCACAGCCTGCATGAGGACGTCGGGCGGGGCCCCTACGCCAGCGACACCCTCATCGAGCGGCCCATGGGCAGCAGGAGGAGGAGGCCTGAATACGGGAGCCGGGTGGATAGTTCGGCTCGTCCTTAGAAGACGTCTCAGCCTCGAGAAGAGAGGCGAGCGAGAAGTTGTCGAGTTCGCCTGGTCCGCGAATACGACTGAAGTCGGTGCTTTTTTTTTTTTTTTTTTTTTTTTTTTTTTTTTTGATCAACAATTTATATAGCGGTGCTCGATGGCAGCCCGCTCGCTATCTACAGAACACGTACGCTACACGACCCGGTTACTAGGCAAACTACTTAAAGACGTCCGCCCCCCCAACCAAGACCCTTCTGGTATATACGTCGAAACTTCCCGGAGGGCAACCCACAAAACGGGGGATAAGGGGAGGA